AATACTTCACACCATGTATTAGTAATCTATTCCCGCCTAACAAGCCCCAAATACAGCGGCAGGCTCCCTCTGGTCTCTTTGCCTCTGGTCTCTCTTTCCCGAAATGCAGCTCCAGTCTCCCTTTTGGGCTTGTCCTTACCTGACAAAGTCAAATGGGCTATTCTCAAGTTCGAATATGAGGAAAAGGAGACTAAGTTAATTTAATTTCCTGTTTATCCAGCCACTAGCCACATTTTTTTGCCCTACTTTCCTTCTGCACAATCCCACAGTACGTATTAAGTCTCTAGCATATGTCCAATAAGAGGAAATTCTTGGGTTTGCAAATATTCATGGTGCAACACCTCCCTCCCAGTAATGACTAGTAATAAAGCAGGTATCAATTATGTATTGGCATATCTCTGGGGAAGTGCCGGGAAATCTGTCCATGCTATTTCACTTGATCTGCGCTGCGAGCCTATATGGGGGATGCAATTCCATTTACTTCCCGGGCAAAGCTGCTTACAGGGGCACTGAGCCTCAGCTTGCTGAAGAAACCTAACCACGAGGGTACTGTGATTTAGTGGCAGACCTGGGACCCACCCTAGGCTTCCCACCCGTGTTCTGGAATCTGACAGGCCTGGGTGGTTTCAGGCAATTTTTCTCTCTCTTTGAGTTTCAATTTCTTTATCCACAAAATGGTGGTAGTAACATCTTCCACACAGAACTGTTGTGAAGATTCAGTGTACGTATGCTGTGCCTAGCTCAGTAACTCTTGGTCTCCTTTATAGCCATGTGTCACTTAATGATGGGGATACGTTCTGAGAAATGTGTCATTAGGCGATTTTGTCATTGTGCAAACATCATAGACTGTACTTACACAAACATAGGTGGTACAGCCTACTACACACTTAGGCTATTTGGTACTAACCTTACGGGCACCACCATTGTATATGCGGTCTGTCATTGACCTAAACATTGTCATATGGCACCTGACTATACGTCCCCCAGCCAAGGCTCTTTCTGGAATACTTTTCATTTGTAGATTTCTTCATGCTCATCAAGGTTTGGAATAGTCCTCTTCAAATGAGGACTGTGTCCTTTATGGGAAACTGCCCCCAAGGACCATACATCACTGGCGAGACAGGAAATGGACATGACGATCAGTCATTAGACATAAGAGTAGAAAAGAAGGGGCCAAAAATAAGTACTCCTGGGATTCAGAGACAGCAAAAAGATCAGGAGGAGCTGGACTGACTGGGAGAGGCTTTGGAGAGGACAAAAGTCTTGAGGTGCACATCTTTGTCTCCCCAGTGCCTAGCATGCAGCACCTGGCATGCTCTGGTTGAACTGAACTGGCCTCTGAGTCTCGATGTTAAGAAGAGCTCCACGGCCTAGCGTGGCCTGAGCCAGGACAGGAAGGAATCTTGCCCTTCCTGTCACACCCCCCACCCCCACCTCTTGCCCTGGGGACCACCCTAGAGTTCCTAGAGCAGGCAGCTGGCATTTGCTGGGGAGAAAGTGGGTGCCCAGAGTAGACACACAGACTAGCTCAGGGGTCAACCTCCCTCTAATGGAAGGACCATGTCACATCACCCCACTCCAAGCACTTCCCATATTGTGTTCCTCTTGCCCTGGCTAGCCCTGAAATCTGCCCTCTGAGGCATGTCCCACTCGGATTCAAACCCCATCTCAGGCACGTGGCCTGAATTTTTTCTGTCTCCGTGGCTGGCTCTTGCTTCTGGCTCACTAAGTCGCAGGCCCTCTCCAGAGGGACCCCACTCCTTCTCAGCCCAGTCCTGTTTCCTGTCGGCTGCCCAAGCACCCCTGGCCCCTGGGGACGCCCACAGGCCTGCAGCTCACACCTGCACAGTCCCTGAGCTCAGGTATTCAAAGGCAATATCCTGAAGGAACTGTTTTCACTGCCTGTTTGGGGGGGGGGGGGTCTGCCTAAAGCAAACTTTACACACTCCTTCATTTCTCATTCCCAGTGTTGGCAGAGGGGTCGGGAAACCACATTCTCATCCTGTAGGCGCGTTTCAAAGGATTCAAATTTCCACAGGCCAAATTGGGCCATATACACCAAAAGACTTGTGCATAACTTTTAACCCAGTGATTCCTCTTCTAGAAATTTATCCTGTGAAAATAATTAGGCAAGTGTACAAAGATGTGTGTACAAGATGGTTCATAAGAGGATTGCTAAAAAAAGAGTAAAGACAACCTCCAAAATTCCAACGGGGATAAGTAGAGTAAATCACAATACATCAATAAAATGGAATCCAATTACAGTAGTCACCCCTCATCCAAGGTTTTGCTTTCCCTAGCTTCAGCTACCCACGATCAACTGCAGTCTGAAAATATTAAACAGAAAATTCCAGAAATAACTCATAAGTTTTAAACTGCCCACTGTTCTGAGTAGCATGATGAACTCTCATGCCATCCCACTGTCCCGCCTGGGATGTGAATCATCCCTCTGTCCAGTGGATCCACACTGTATACACTACCCACTTGTTAGTCACTTAGTAGTGCTCTGAGTTATCAGTATATTGTTACAGTATTTGTTATAATTGTTCTATTTTATTATTAATCATTGTTAATCTCTTATTGTGCCCAATAAAAAACATAGTATATGTAGGGTTCAGTGCCATTCACAGTTTCAGGCATCCACTGCAGGTCTTGGAACAGTCTCCCCAAAGACAAAGGGAGACTACTATAACTATAAAAAACAATGGTGTAGATACATATAAAGAATGATCATAATATAATAAGTGAAAAGTGGTTACAAAAGTATGTAATGATAAGAGATAGCATTCATTAAGTGCTTACCATATGCCAAGCACTATTCTAAGAACTTCATGGATATTAATTTGTTTAATCTTCACACCAACCCCAGTCAGGAAAGAACTCTCACTGGTCCCATTTTACGGGGGCTAGAAGAGGGTCCATGACTTGCCCAAGGCGCACGGTAGTGCCTGAGCTCAGGCAGACTCGAGAGCCCACGTTCCTAAATATCACAATTCTGCTTCTCAGTATAGGGTCATAGTTGTTTTAAAGCCAAAACCAAATAAAAGGGGTGTGTGTGTGTGTCTGTTTTAAGAAGGACTGGAATGAAAATATTGAGGCATTATTGTAGGATGTTGTTATTTTTTATTTAAAAATCTTTACATACACTTCTGTTTTTCATTTCAGTAAGATGAATTTACTATGTAATAATAGAGTTCATTCCTCCAGTTCACGACATCATGCTCACGAGGAGTTGAAGAATGTAACTCTTTCAGTGGGTTGGGGGTCACTAGAGTTAATTTTGACAAAGGGTCGAGAAGGATCATCTGTTTTTTTTCAGTTTCAGTCTGTACTGCTTAGGAACTCTCTTTAAGAGTCTTTCTGAATAGTTCAAATAATGTTTAGAATTTTCTACATGTTGAAGATATACTTAAAAATACAAAGGGCCCGGACAGACCACTGTTAATGCTGTAAACGATCCCTGGCTTTCTTTGAATGTAAAATCACTTGGTAAACTTTTTTTTCCCTTTTTCTTGCTTACTTTAAGAAAAAGAGAAAGGAGGGAATGTGGTAGTGTTTGCAGAACAGTTTTCATTTCTGCCTTGGTCTCATTAAAACGCATTCTTTATGCCATTGCATTTCATTTAGAAACTGCTTCCAGACCAGCTTCTCCAGCAGCCCAGGGGCTCCCGGGACCCTCTGTCACTCTCTGAGTTCAGCTTCCCAGTCTCCTGGTCCCAAGGGCTGCTTTTCCCACCCCAAATGCTCCTCCTTGGGGATTTCCCTAGGGCATGGTTTCTCATCGCTAGAACACCTCCATGAGTGTGGGTAACCAGGAGTCAGCAGTGCATGAAAATAAACCCACAGACCGGCAGCATTCGCTCCAGCCCCGGGCCAGCGCCTCTGTGTGAGTTACCTCATTGGGCACTCACGCCAGCCTATCAAGTAGGTGTGATAGTCCCAGGGTTTTAGAAGATAAAGTTGATATTCAGAGAGCTTTGATGACTTGCCCAACGTCCCATGACCATAACTTAAATACAAATTTGGCTTAAAAACACGCATTTCCCCTTTGCACTATCCTGATTCACAGTGATTAATTCAACTGAGTTGCTTTGCTTTCTTTCTTGCCTTTTTTTTTTTTGTGAGGAAGATCGGCCCTGAGCTAACATCTGCCGATCCTCCTCTTTTCGCTGAGGAAGACTGGCCCTGGGCTAACATTCATGCCCATCTTCCTCCACTTTATATGGGAGCTGCCACAGCATGGCTTGACAAGTGGTGCGTCGGTGCGCGCCCAGGATCCGAACCGGCGAACCCCGGGCCGCGGCAGCGGAGCGCGTGCACTTAACTGCCTGCATCACCGGGCCGGCCTCCTTGCCTTTTTTTTTTTTTTTTTTTTGAAGTGAGGGAGTAAGGGGTATGGGTCTGAGCACAAGGGGGGGGGGTTTTTTTTTTTGTGAGGAAGATTGGCCCTGAGCTAACATCTGTTGCCAATCTTCCTCTTTTTGCTTGAGGAAGATTGTTCCTGAGCTAACATCTGTGCCAGTCTTCCTCTATTTCATATGTGGGACGCCTCCACAGCATGGCTTGATGGGCATTGTATAGATCCACGCCTGGGATCTGAACCCATGAACCCCGGGCTGCCAGAGTGGAGCACGCCAACTTAACTACTACACCACTGGGCTGGCCCCCATGAGGAGGGTGATATTTTTAAGGTAAAAATTATTTTTGCATTTTATGATAATGAATGTATCTTAATCTTTCTAGAAGGTGGGTTACTAGATAAATTTCAGAGTTTAAAAATAGACATACACTCACACACACATGCACATACTCTCACACATGCGCACGCACACACATACACACACACACTCACACACACACACACGCCCTATCTTATGGTTTGTAAATGCTTCCATGGACTGACTGAAAGATCACTGTGCTCTGACTTTGACACTCCAGAGCCCAGTTTTACTCTCTACTCCTTCTGTGTGGTCATGAGTGAAACACAGAGACATCATCAATAGAACAAAATATATGGCATTTATTAAACACATGTGACATAGGTTATAATATTAAAGTAGAGCATGCATGAACAAATTACTCATTCGTTTAACAAAAACACCAATTGATACTGAAAACATTAAATGATTAAATTTCCACAACATACAAAATTCTCTTTCAGTTAAAGTGAGAAAGAAAAAAAAAATCACAAGTCGAATAAATACAGTGATTTCAGCTGGCCCAAGAAAGGCACAAGGCACAGATTAAACCCAGGGATTAGCACGTCAGAAGGAAGCATGTCTGCCCGAATGGGGCCCGTCTCCAACCGGGGTTCCGGGAACCCTGCACAGATCCTCGGCACCAAGGGCAGAGAGACCTGCATGCTGGGATCCTGTTCTCCCAGGGTCGGGTTTCCCCAGTGCCCGCGCTCCTGCGGACAGGCTTCTCTGCACCAGAGAAACACTGCCTCTAATACTTTTATGGGTAAACAAAATCTTCATGCTGTAACAAATGATCCTGGCGTGAATAACATGAAATTTCAAATTAATGCCCTTTTTCCTCCCAACTGAAGCCTAGCAAAACAGGAAATAAATTGTGAAGGAATTCTCCGGACAGGACTTCAGTGTCTACACAGAAATCTAATGATGGCCCAATACAGTACACTGCGCTGGTTGAGTGATTGAAATATGACCTTGAAACTTCTCTCTCCTGCCCTCCCCTTCTGCCTCCACTTTCCTTCATGTTTTAGAAGTGGATCAGAACCTCAGCAATTTCCACTCTGGCTTAAACTGTGTATAGGAGGAAGCAACAGTCATCCTTTTTAGACTTCAGGCCGCAGGGTTCCAGGGCCTTTGTCCATCTGTAAAAGGCGCCCATCTCTGAATGCCTAAGTCAGAGTTTTCTTCATGGTTAACTCCAGGACTCGTGTGTATGGGGTATAGTTCCTGGAAGGCATTGCGATTTCACGAGTCCTACCTGTTTGGCTGAGAAATGAGAAAAGGCAGGTCAGGAAGATTAAACAAAATTCTCCATACTCTTCATGTGGTAAGACAGCTCTAGGAAATGGTTTTTCAACAGAAAAATAGACCGTAATAATGCAGTTGAATATTTAATTTAAATATTACAAGAGCGAACATTATTTTTAGCAACTTTTAAAGGTTGTGCTAGGCATTGATGATTCAGTAAAAGATAAAACGTATTCAAGGAACTCATAATTGGTGGGAAAGATACGTACATAAATAATTTTAACACAATGTGTTAGGTATCATAATACAGACATAAAGAGTGGGGCAGGATATTCTCCCTTTGCCTGTTCAGATCTACTCTCCCCCTTCTCTACCTCACTCTGCACCCTGGGAAGTTGATCTGAAGGTCAGCATCAATGGGCTCCCTCACCCTTTAGCTTCACTTGGTTCTGACCAGTTGGGAAATGGTAGCAGGGATGAGAGAACAGAAGGACAGAGAGGTGAGGACTTGTTCCCTCCCAGCCAGGCTGCAGCTTGTAGTTGGCCATATTCCTCTAGCAAAGGCCACAGCTCCAGCCCTCCCCTCTGTCTCTTCTCCCGGCTTTCTCCCCCCGTCTCTCCAGGCCCAGGCTGGTAACAGTTTCCACTGTTGCTAGCTCCAGAGTACACCACTGTCCCTTGTTTATTTCTCTTAAAGCAGCCCAAACCTTTGTAAATAGTCCCTTCAAGTCTCTTCAATCCTCCCTTCCTGCCAGGACCCTGAGCCATATAAGAATTAAGGTATTATGGGCAAACTGAGGGCAGAACAAGTTAGCCTCACTAGGAGGGCATCTGGAAATTTGCATCTGGAAGGTGAATCCTGAAGGATGCCTAAGCATTCCTGAAATGGGCAAGGGGGAGATGGGAATTCCAGGTGGAAGGCATAGAATGCACAAAGGCGAAGACAGGTGAACACAAAGGCCATGGGCGTGGAAAGGAGACACATCTGCTAGGACTGGAGCCAAGAGTTCACAATGGAAAGTGGCAGAAGACGAGGCCGGGTGGAGGAGGGCCCTGTGTGCCCTGTTAATGAGTTTAGAAGGGGACAGGGAGCCAATAAAGGTTTTTAAGAGGGTGGCACGAAATGCTCATATTTTTATTCTAGCAAGATTCCTTGGCACTGCTGATGGTTGACTGGAGAGGGGTCAGTCTGGAGGCAGAAGTTTAGTGAGGAGATTTGCTATTTAGGAGGTGAGAGAGATCATGAAAACTTGAATCCTAACAGTAGCACTGGAAGTGAAGTAGCAAGGAAAGGTTAGGGAGATATTTGGGAAGTAGAATTAACAGGATTTAGTGACTAAGATGGAGATACGTTCCATTTCTTTCTCCTCCTGGACACATAATTCAACTACATTTCCCAGCCTCTCTTGCAATTTGGTGGGCCATGTGACTAAACGGGCAGAAATGATTTATATTACTTCCAGGTTTAGCCTGTAAAACCTCTACATAATCCTCCATGCTCTCTCTCTTCCCTTTCATGCAGAGGATACAGTGAAGACACAAGAGGACTCCAAAGCCCAGGCAGGGTCGCTAGATGAAAGAATCCTGGGTTCCCGAATGACTGTGTGGAACAAGGCCCATGCCAACCTGCCTTGGACTGTGGAGTGAGAAATCAATCTTTATTATGCTAAGCCACTGAGATCTCTGCATTATTTGTTACAGCAGCTACATTCCTTATCCCAACTGATGCAATGACCAATTGCGCAAATGAGATATGAGTCAACTCCCTTTTCCCTAACTTCCCATGTCCGATCATTCACCTAGTGGTATGGAATCTACCTCCTTAACTTCTGTTTTGTCAACTGTCTTCTCTATTCCCTCAGCCACTGCCCTAGTTCAGGCTCTCATAATTTATCTTTTAATATTGGAACAGTATCCTACATGGCCTCCCTGCCTTCAGTGTTGGCCAAGTCTTCCCCCTCCCCACATCCACTATCCATTTTGCTGTCAAGGATATCTTCCTAAACAGACAATCGGAGCATATTATTGTTCTTAAAACTCTTCCAAGTCTCCCCATTACTTCCTGGATGAAGTCCAAACTTTGCATGGTCTAAAGGCCCTCCACCATCTCCCGTTAGAGCTCCTGTCTGGCCTTGCTACGCAACACACAGCTCTCATCTTTTACCATACCGCTTCACTTCTCTTTGCCATTCTCATGCTGTCCCCTCTACCTTGAATGCTTCTCTAATCAAATCGACCTCTTGAATTCCTGCCTATATTTCAAGACTCAAGCCAAACATCACCTCCTATATGACAATTTCCCTGATTCCCCACACCAGTGATAGAAATGATCACTCCTTTCTTTATGCACTCACAGCTTCCTTGAGCAGTGCTGCTCAATTTTCTGCTTCCCAAGGGTTCACTTATGCTAAATTCCCATCAATCACCTCCCACTACCCTGCAGTGATTTTCAACTAAAGTGCAGTAGGGAGACAGCTTCTTAATGTGGTCTATGAAAAGCTTGGAGGGAACTGTAAACTTCATGTGTCTCTCCCCAAGAGATCCAATATGTCTTTTCCACGCTCTCCACCCACCCTCCCCATATACACCTTGAAAATGGCTGTCACCCAGGCTTCTGACATACCACTGGAAGCATCTCATTGCCCCACTAGTCTACACACTTGTCTCCTCTACTAGGTATAATTTCTTGAAGGTTGAAAACCATATCCCGTTCATCTTCATGACACCAGCAGCTCACATGGGCCAGGTACAGAGCTATCACTCCATATATGGATGACAAAGGAAACTAGAGGATGACGGATTTCGAGGAGTGAGTGGTCAGGGTGTCACTTGCCACAGAGAGGAAGCCACAGGATCTGGCAATTCAGGGGACTCCAGTGACCTGACCAGGCTGTTTAGGGGAGTGCCAGGGACAGAAGCCAGATGGCCATTTGTGCCAACTACTGTGGTAAAATTCCACATAACAGAAATGGTCTCCAGTGACAGTATCCTAAAAGCCCATAAACTGCAAAAATATTTATAAAGGTAGAACTTCTGGGTTTCAAAAACAGGCTCTCATACCCCAACCTTTCAAAAAAAAAGTGAGGTATTTTATTTAGTTGATCACCAGGAAACAACAGCATTTCAAGAACACAAATAATTTCAACCACGGAACTGAAATGCAACCATTTTCTTTAACACATTAAGGTTATTGTTAATCTTTTATTAATCCATAAAGGAGCAGTTCCCCTGGGGGAAACAATAACAGAATCAGCAAATAAAAGCTTTGACAAAAAGCTACTTTGTGTTCTGATCTCTACAACAAAAATATGAAAGTGTAGGCATTTTAAAGTGCTTACTATGTGCCAGGTACTTATGACTTCAGGGAATATTTTTCATCAAATTGCACCTAATAAGACACAATTTATGAGTTTGCTGGAAACTAAGTTTCACTTAGGAGCAGGAGAAAGAGAAGTCTCTTTTCTTTTGTTTTTTTGTTTTTCATTTTGTGAATGAAGGTGAGCTGACCTGAAATTGCTCTCAAATGCTTTCACTAACATGTATCAAACTTTTCAAATCAAACTCTTGAATCTTATAAAAAATAGGTGGCCCGGGTTTCACAGGTTCAGATCCCGGGCATGGACCTACACACCGCACGTCAAGCCATGCTGTGGTGGCGTCCCACATACAAAATAGAGGAAGATGGGCACAGAGGTTAGCTCAGGACAATCTTCCTCAAGCAAAAAAGGGAAGATTAGCAACAGATGTTAGCTCAAGGCCAATCTTCCTCACCAAAAAAGAAAAAAAAAGATGTTTCAAAGCCCCTAAAATCACAGAGAATGCCTTCTCACCCCTTCCCTCTCTCCTTGCTTTATTAAGAGATCCTTGATCTCCAGAAATTTACATAACACAGAGATGAGATGAAGGAGGGGAAGGATTTGAGGAGAACTGGATGGTACTAAGCAGATCAGACGGAGAGGACACTAGTCTCAAGCAAGCTGGTGGCAGTGGGAATGGAAAAGTATGAAGCAAGTCGTGAAGAAAAAAAGACAGCATTGTGTAAGTGAGTGAGTCTAGGAGAAAACAACCCACAGCTCAAAGGTGACTGCGAGCTATCGAGCTCAGGTAACTGAGAAAGTGGGGGCAGCAAAACAAAACTATGAAAAATGTGGTCAGTGTGCTGGGCACTTGATGCCTGCATCTCACTTAGTCATCTCAGCAAACTTCTGACAGAATTACTATCAAATCCTTCTGTTCTAGGGGAGGTAACAGGCTCTGCGAGGTTAGGAATTTGCCTAAAGCTGTAAACATAGCAGGAGGCAGAGCCAGGACCCAAACCCAAGACCAACTTTCAGCCAGTGTTCTTAACCACTACTAAGAGGACCGACTTCAACGAATAAAAGGACACACTGGGAGATGGATAGGGCCAGTATGGAGATCAAGTGGACACCAGCTGGGAGTGCCCAGCAGGCAGCCGGGAACAAGGACTTGTATTCAACAGAGAGGTTCAAACTACTCGATAGCTCAGCCACAGGGAGGCAAGAGGTAAAGCTGTGAGGCTGGATGCCATCTTTGCAGGAACTATTGTAACCAAGATCTCAGAACCAGGAGTTCCCACAGTGAGGATGTGGGAGGGGAAAGAGAAGCCATCAAAAAAGATGGAGGACAGGCCAGGGGAGTAGGGAGAGAACCAGGACAGAAATGTCCTACAGGAAGCAGACATTCTTCTGCTTAGGAAGGACTGCCAAATGCCACGAGCGATGGCTCCAGTCCACAGATAATCGACTGAGTGACTGCCATGTGCGAGGCACTATCCTAAGTCAGTCCCAGGGAGACTGCAATTAGTGACGTGGACGAAAATCCCTGCCCTCACGGAGCTTACATTCTAGTGAGGAGAGAGAGGATAAACACAAAGAAGTAAAACGTAAGAAGAATTGCTTTTTCTAAGTCCTTTATTAAATAAATAAATCATATTATAACACAGATCAGCTGCCTAAGTCCTTACTTGGGGTCTACCTTTCATTCATTCAGCCGACAAATGTTTATTGAGCATCAAGAAAATGCTCGACTAGGGGATGGGAGCCTAGGGTCCCTGTCCCCCGGAGTACACAGTGTTGGCAGGGACAGGAGAAATTGGTGGGGAGTAATAAAAGGGGCTTAATGGCTCTGTAAGTAAAGAAAAGGCTGATTCCATTTTTTTCAGCAGTACATAAAAATAGAGCAGCGCCAATTGTATGTCAGATGCATTAGCAGTAGCACAGCATGTAACTCTTGCAGGTATAAGAAGGAATGAGTCGTCGGTGCTGCGCCACTCTTCAATGAGGCTTTGTGACCAGTGCCTGGAACACAGTGGGACCACTCTGTCTCAGCTGACAGAGACCTCATCAATCACTGGGCCTTCCAGTGTTTTACACAGTGTCTAGAGGGTTTCAAACCACTGATAGTCTAACTCAAGAGCTCAATGCATACTGAAGCACTATATACTCGATTAAGTTATTAATACATTTAATAAAACCACTAATAACGACCAAAAAAAATAAGCTAATGAAATTGTCTTAGCACACCCAAATTCACTTATATTGGATACAGTGTCTTATATGTAAAATCAGAGTTTTTACTTAGTTAATAGTAGTAATAGCTATTATTTATTAAGTTCTTAACTTCAGTCTAGTTATGGTAAATGCTTTATACCCGTTTTCATTTAATCCTCATAGCAACCCTATGAGATTTGATATTGTCATCTTCATTCCCATTTTAAGGATGAAATAATTGAGGCTTAAGAGAGATTAAGTAACTTGCCCAAGGCTGTGCTCAGGCAGCAGCTGGCTGGGCAGGGAACCCCTGCAGCCTGAGGTTCCCCAACTGAACCACGCGGCGCAGTTCTTCTTTGTGGGAGAAGAGCAGGGAGTAAGAACAAGACTCTTCTGCACAATTGAGGCTTAATTCAATACTTTCATTTATCTAAACCATTGTGGAGGAGGCTGTTTTAAAAACATTCTGGAAAACACCACAGAATCTTTAATTACTTAGATGCAAGTTTTAAGTCTAACTAAGAACCAGGAATTTTGTTAGAACATAATCAACACAATTAAGCCACTCTTTATTTATTGAGTATTTTAAAACTACAAATGTACCACACCAGGACTCAGATGGCCTGGTTCTAACCCTGGCTCTGTGGCTTCCAGTGAATCACTCTCTCTCTGGACCTTGATTTCGGTATGTATAAAATACGAGGATTAAACTAGACCAGGGGGTTCCAATTTGTTTTTGACCATGAAACTCTTTATTCAAACGAAATCTTACTTGTAATCCAACATATAAAACATACTAAAAGCTGAGTTTCTCAGGTTGTTTTTGGGGTGCCGTGGAGGGTCCCCACAGGCCAGCTCCTTGCTAACCTCCTCGTCCCCTGAGGCTTCGGGAGGCCTCTCCTGGAGCCCTAGCACAGAGCATCCAAGCAGCTCAGCTGGATCAGTACTGTCCCGAATTATCTCAAACGATCCCCTGCTCCTCCCCACCCAGACTTCCACAGTGCCTTTCACATAGTAGGCACTTAATAACATTTGTGAGGAAACAAGTGAAATATTATTCTGCCTTTTCGGAAATGTGGATACATAGTTTTCATTTCCTCCGCTGATTGACCCAGGTAGTTAAAGTGCTAAGATGGATCCTGGGGGAAACCAAATGTTACATTTATGGAAAAGCTGCTCTCAGATACTGAAGTGGCTTCCAAGTTCACTGTGGCTGTAAGTTAAGGGTCTGTCAGCACTTCCATTATGAAAACCACTTTGTGGTTTCATAACTTAGCCATAAAAGTTTGCTGCAGGCTATTCTTCGGCATACAAACTGAAAACCTTGTTTTAAGCCAAAATGTGGGAATTAGAAAACAAACAATTTATTGGTTTCAGACATAGTTTTGTACCCGTCTTAGCCAAACAAGATTTATTATGTGGGCAATTAGAGTGGACTAAGCCACGTGGTTCTTGAACAATAAAAAAGGAGGGAAATGGCCAAACTATTCATATTTCAAAAGGAGTCCCTGGACATGATCAATCACTCTTTCAGGCTGTATTTTTATCATCTATTTTGTACCCTGTATTGATGAGACCTGGTGTCTTTTACATATTCTTTTCCCTTTTTTTCTTTAAAACATGATCTGTTCATTATATCAGAATGATAAAATTACCTTGTTTTTACCAAAAAGTAAGCAATGTTAATGAGAACAATGTCAAAGAAAGAGCTTAATGCTGCTTTTGGTAAATACTTTGAGAATGGCAATTGCCTCATTTTAATGAACAAAAAATACAGTATCAGTAATGGATAAAAATAGTCAGGGAGGAAAATGAGGCCTTGTTATACAATGTTAGAGCTGGTTAGACCTGAGAAGTCACCTGGTCTAACCAATGACCTTACAGATTGGGAAACTGAGGCCCCAGCAGAGAGAGTCCAGCCTGAAGGCACCCAGGTATTCTATAGCCCAGGTTGGTGATCAGCTCATCACTGTTTCCCATCAGATGTAACCATTCCAGGTTACAGGAGTCTACATTTTTCTGGCCGACTAATGTCTAACACAACACACGCAAATGCCCTTGATTACACAAGAATACACCTTCCTACACATACCATACGAGGCACTTTGTGACTTTGGTTACCTAAATCACAGGCCACATGTCATCAGCATCCTTGTTATAAACTTGTTTTATGTCCTCTTTGGGCCAAGCACAGTTTTGAGCACCTAGAGAGAGTGGGTTAGTTACTGGTTCACAGGCTCTAGTCGTACTAGGGAGAGACTGAGGCAGGGGCATGTGGAGCAGCTTAACATGGAAGGAGTCAGTCCTCTAGCTCAGAAATGCAATTGAATGGACCAGGTAAGAGTCATCATATATCTGCTCATGACTGAAACAGATAATTTATTTATGGATCTGATCCAGTGCTTGATAATATGTTATGGCACTGGGGAATAGAGGAATTTCATTCAAGATTTAGACTCTCCTGCCTCTATGTTACTAAAGCACCTGTAGGTCTCCCTCACACTGGAGTAAATTGCTGCCTACACATCTGTCTCCCCTTCTGGACTGCACTCTGGAGCAGGAACCAAATCTCATCCTTCTCTATCTCCTAAGTCTGGCACAGGGAAGGTACCCAACAGATGTCTGCTGAATAAATGAATGAATGAACAAATGAACGAATGAATGAATAAACAAAGAAACAAATACATGCACTCACCGATGGGGCCAATCTCTCTCTGAAGCGGCTTCCCCAGATCTCTCCTTCACTAGTCCCTCTGCCCTGCACAATGCCCCTGCTCCCACAGAAAGCAGTCAGATGCCTCAGCAGCCACCATTTATTTTTGCAGAAATATTTTTGATAGAAAGAATGCAATTCTGGTAATAACAGCCTAGTATTTTCTTAAGTCAAAGAGGAATTTGAGTCAGAAAAATAGGAAATTCCTAAATACCTGGGTAGAAGATCACAGCCCACTCCAATCTCTCTGGTTTCCACATCAGTCTTGGGCTGGGTTTCTATTAAATAGTCCAACCTGCTTTGTAGTTCATTATTCTAGAGATAAGGAAAAAGGTAATCTTAGTAAAGCAAATATGTTCCCCACAAATATGTATGATGCTTATTTGTTATATATATGTTGATGCATTTTATCAGATTTTCCCCCATGACATAAACATCTATCACAATGTATTTATTGAGAATCTCTTACACAGCAGGAATTGAAGAAATACATTGATTGAATCCTTACAGATAGCTTTCTGTGCATGTACATACATACGTATCCAATTTTACATAAATGGAAACAAACAAAATATCCTAATCTATACAGTAATCTACTTTTTTTCACTCAGTGATTTGTTGTGAATACCTTTCCACGTTAATTTGTTTTCTTTTTGTGCCAACAAACTATTTTAATGGGTTCATAGCATTCCATTGTATGGATGTACATTATTTATTTAACTAGTCTCTTATTGATGGTCATTTAGATATTTATCACTTTTTTTGCAATTATAAATAAGGTACAGCTCAACTTTTAATACTCCCTCATTAAACTATAAAATGAGTAAGTCTATTAATTTAATTTAGTGGGAAATACCTCTATAACTTAATAATTAGTATTTCATAGGTGTGGAAAATTCAGAATCTCAAACATATAAAGTAGAACAAGCTCTTTGGGATTAAAATTAGCATTCTAAATAGTTTATTTTTCAAGCAAGAGCCAAGCATTACACAGGTTGACGATTAGATGCTCAGGAATTGGGAATTTGCCCCATGGGGGAAATGACGGACAAAGAAGCAAGAAAGTTGAGGATATTGGAATGAAAACAGATGAAGTGCTAGTGCCTGAAATCTAAAGGGCAAAAACACACACAAATTCAGAAAGAGGTTAACAGTGGCTATCTCTGTGTATTGAGTTTTGGGATGTTTTTTAAAAAGTTCTATATATTTCTCTGCAATGCCAAACTAAATTTTCACGCAGAAGCAATGACCATGTCTATCTTCCTGGCTGTATCATTGGAGCACGGCATGTAGGAGATGCAGGATAAATATTTATTGAATAAATAAATGTATAAATGCTTTTCCAAGGAGCATATTATTTGCATAACTACAAAAAAATTGAAGCATTTGTCTTTTCTTTTTAAGTTGGACTTGAAGTTTGAGGCACTCTTCTAAGACACTACATAACACATGAAAGTTGACAAGTTCTATAGAAACAGAAGCTCATTTGTTTTGAAAGAAAGAAGGTAGGTTACAGCTCAGTAGCTCCTGCTCTGAATGGTGATTCCAAGGAGCAAAGCAGCGGCTCTGGTACAAACTAGTGTTCTGTAGGACATAAAGGTCTATGGATCCCTTCTTATAAATGGGAAATGGGGTAAAGGAAGAAAATGCATTCCAGATTCCCTAGTAGCTGACAAGCCATGACAGATCTATGGGCTCCGAATCAATCACCTGATGCTCAGAATGGGAGAATGGTGCTGGCTTACTGCCAGGGGTACATCCACATTTACACACACACACACACACACAGACAGAGCTTCCCTGGCAATATTTGGACTCTCCTATTCATAAGGAAAGAGAAAGGCAGAAGACGCCTGCCCTTTAACAAGCTCCAGCAATCCCATCACCTTATCCCTTCTCAGTGTAGACTTTAATCATTACGATGTCACAGAATGCTGGGGCTAGTACCCATATCAGAGGCATAAAAGACGAGGTTGGCAAATATGCCCCAATTGGTACACAGTGAATAGCAGACAGATAGCCCCAAATCCTTTGTTCTATCTCATAGGAACTCCATGTGTGCAGGTCAGACACCCCCTGAAGCACCAAAGCGAAAAATTCACACTCATAACAATTTAATGCAATCAGTAAAATAAATGAGCGTCTACTATGTATCAGGTAGTGTTTAAAGTTAGGTGAGGGGAGGTAGTTAGCAGTTAAAAGAAATAGGGCATGATTTGCAACCCTTAAGGAGCTCAGCCTTGTGGGGGTATAGACAACTAAGCGGAAAATGACAGAATAAAGTGGTAAGTCCCATGCCAGAGAAACCACAGAATATTAAGTGGGGATTCAGAGGAGATTCCTAACTCAAGATGGGGAAAAGGACTGAATTGTCCGTGAAGATTTCCTGGAGTTAGGCAAGGGAAAGAGAGTAAGAGAAACAAAGGGGATGAGTATTCCAGAATTGGGGAAACAGGTTGAGAATAGGCAACTTACTGCAGTATACAGGTGGGCAGGAATTACTTATGAAGGGCTATGTATGCCATTACAAACACCTTACACACCATCCTATAAGACCAAGGTCAACACTAGATTTTATTTCAATCACTTGGGGTCCCAAGTGAAAACTGTACTGAAAGGAAATAAAACTACAGGCAAGAAGATCAGTCAAGAAGGTCATTGCAATTTTCCAGGTAAAGAGTGAGAGCTGCACTTCTCATATAGAGGAGTAAGTGCTTAACAAACAGATCCTCCTGCAGAGAATAATTGTAAACTCTGGACAAAGACAAAACACAACTACTGAAGTCTCTGGAGATTGAACAAGGACAAGCAAGTCTCAGAGAGAGGTAAAACCTGGAGCAAGTGACAAGCATAGAACGGGTTCTTTGTGATTCATTTGTTGGTTTTTGTTTGCAGCTTTGCCGGAGAGCAGTACAGTCATGGTGGTAGCAGCACAGATCCAGGGAAAATTCACTAGAAAGATAATCTTTCTGGTAGAAAAAAACAGGGGAAGGAGTCCAGCATAACCAGGGCTGTCAAAAAGGAGACAGAAGTTGGAAACTCTAAATTCTGTGTATAGACTCAGCTTGTCTCCAGCAGATCCCTGAACCATGCACATGTGGGGCAAACTGAAAGAAGTTTGCAGCCAAGGCTTAAAGAACTAAACTGGGATCTGAGCCATTACCCACTATGGGCACAGCAGGGTGTAGCTGGGTCTAACCAAATTCATTGCCTTCTAAACCAAAAACCTCAACACTCCTCAGAACAATAAAACACAGTCCAAAGTCTCCACAACAAAACATTTACAATGTCCAGATTATAATCCAAAATTACTCGACATAGAAGAGTTAGGAAAATGTGACCCACTCCCAAGGGAAAAGAGAATCAACAGATGCCAATCCTGAGATGACTCAGATTTTCAGACAAGGATTTTAAAATAGCTATTATAACTATGCAATGAGGTAAAAGAAAAATATGCTTGTAAAGGATGAAGTAGTAAAAAAAAAATCAACAGAAAGAAATAGAAAATACAAAAAAGAACCAAATGGAAATTTTAGAACAGAAAAATACAATGACTGAAATTAAAAAAAAATCACTAGATTGACTTACGAAAAGAATGGAGACGACAAAGGAAGGAGTCAGTAAACTTGAAGACACATTAACAGAAATCATTTAATCAAAATAAGATAAAGAAAGGAAAGGCTAAAAATAATAAATGGAGCTTCATGAAACTGTGGAACAATTTCTAAAAGCCTAGAATAGGGATACTGGAATCACAGAAGGAGAGGAGAGAGAAACTAGAGCAAAAAAAATATTCAGAAATATGGCTGAACACTTCCCAAACTTGGTGAGAGACATAACCTTACAAATGCAAGAAGCTCAGCAAACCGCAAACAGGATAAATTCAAAGAGAAACACACCTTGGCACATCACAGTCAAACTACTAAAAATCACAACTAAAGAAAAATCTTGAAAGCCATCCTGTTACATATAGGGGAATAATAATTTGAAATACCACAGATTTCTCACCAAAAAACTATAGAAGCCAGAAGACAGCGAGCACTAAGCGAAAGAAACTGTCAACCTAGAACTCTGTATGTTTCAATAATGAAGGTGAAATAAAGACCTTACTTTGAGACAAGAGAAACTAAGTGAATCTGTCACCATCAGACCTGCACTACAGGAAATGTGAAATACAAGTTCTTCAGGCTGAAGAAAGAGGATATCAGAGAAAAACTCACATTTTTAGGAATGAATGAAGAACATCAGACATAGATAGTATATAAGTACATTTTCTCTTAGTTTCTTTAAAATACATATGATTGTTAACGTGAAAATTGTAACAACGTATTGTGGGATTATAATGTATGTAGATACAACATATACAATAACTATAACAGCGGGGGAGGGGTTAGTGGACCTATATCATTGCAAGATTTCTGCGTTTTACACCAAGTAGTACAATATTACTTGTAAGTGGACTGTGAACAGTTAATGATGTATATTGTAATACCAAAGCAACCACTAACATATTAGAGAAAAGAGACATAGCAAAATGCCAATTGATAAATTAAAATAGAATTCCAAAAATTATTGAAATAATCCAAAGGAAAGCAAGAAAGGGGGAACAAAACAAACAAAAACATATCAGTGGGAATAAACAGAAAACAAATAATAAAATGGTAGACCTAAATCCAACCATATCTATAACAATTAAATGTCAATGGACTATACACTCCACCTAAAGGACAGAGACTATCAGAATGTATATAAAAGCAAGACCTGACTATATATTGTCTACAAGAGATGCACTTTAAACACAGAGGCACAGATCAGTTGAAAATAAGTGGATGGAAAAGATACACCAGCAAACAGTAAACATAAGAGGGCAAGAACGGTTAAATTAATATCAGATAAAATAGACTTCAAGACAAAGAGTATGAACAAAGGTAGTGACTGATATTTGATAACAATGAAAAGGTCAATTCATCACCAAGACACAACAATCAAAAACGTGTGTGTATGTAATAACAGAGCTTCAAAATATATGAAGTAAAAATAACAGAATTAAAGAAAGAAATAGATGGTCTAAAACCATAGGAAGGGGTTTTTAACACCCCTCTCTCAGCAATTGATAGAACAATTATACAAAAACCAGGAAAAACATAAATAACCTAAATAATATTATCAACCACCTAAATCTAATTGATATTTATAGTATACACACAAAAACAGAATATGTATTTTTTATAATATTTAATCAAGAGAAACCATATGCTGAGCCATAAAACAAGCCTCAATAAATTTAAAAGAATTAAAACCATATAAAGGAAATT